AGAAGGAAACTTCATGTCCAAACCTCTCCCAGATTTCCCACGTTTCTCCACTCAAACACCTTCTAAACTGTCTAGCTGATTCAGCTTAAAAAACACCATGGTGCATCATATGAGTTGATGAAACTTATCAGGCACTAGAGTTGATCAAGTTACAGAATACTTTCCTGGTTTCCATGTGAAGTCTATATTATTGCATAGCAGAAGAAACTGAAGGACCTTGTAGCTGGATAGAGTGACCTCAGGGAGCTGCTTAACCATGGATACGTTTCCTAGACCACGACCTTTACCCATTTCAAAAGTAGCAGGTTATTCCTGGTATAAACCTAGTAACCCTTAGTGGCATAAAACAACTGTTTGGTCATACGCATGCTTTGTGCAGGCTAGAGTTGGAAAGTCGTAAGGAAACAACCTACATGTCCATGATGTTTGGGTTCTCAGCTTGGGGGCTAGGGTGGCTTGATGACAAAGAGATGAGTCTTTTAGGTACATCATTTGTTCCTCCTCCGCCTTTGTGGTGATATATTATTTATGATTTATTAAAGTTTGCCTGAGGATTCAGAAAACCAAGTCAGCTACAAGCCATAGAAGCCAGGCACACACTTTCATCCCAGCAGTCAGAAGCTTGGAGGTGGAGGTACACACCTTTAATCCTAGAACTCAGGAGTAAGAGATAGACGGATCTCGGTGAGTCCAAGGCCACGCAGATCTACACAATAGAGAATCAGTCTAAAAGAGAGTTATAACACACCTTTAATCCCAGCATTAGGGAAGTGTGTCAGGCATTTTTTCTCTAGCCACAGTGAAGATAGGAGCATTCATTCTCTATAAAATCAAGGGGGTCATCCTTCTAGCCTAAGATGAGTTCTTCGGAGCTGGAGAGATAGCAGCTTAGAGCACTGGCTGCTTTTCTAGAGGTCATGAGTTCAATTCCCAACAACCCCATGGTGGCTCACAGCCATGTGTAAGGGGATCTGGTGCCCTCTTCTGGTGTGCAGGTGTACATGTAGACAGAACACTGCATACATAATAAATAAATCTTACAAAAAAGAGAGAAAGAGGAAAACAAAGGATCCTGTGCTCTCTGGGTGGTTGGCTAGGTATTTAAATACCCCTGCCTCCCTAAGTCACTCACAAGTCTATTACAACAGTTGTTATAAAGTGATTTCTGTGTGGTAGACTTAGTTTACTGATCCATCCCTGCACTTGGGACACCTCCCCCATAGTAAAAATGCAGAGTGAATGAAGGGTGCAGTGAAGGGCATGCAGGCTGCACCCTCTGCCTGTGCCACTCCCTCCCTGCTGCAAACTCATTCATTCACACTGCTTTTGGGTTTAGTTTGGTTTTGATTCTGGGGACTGAATCCTGGGACTCAAGCATGCAAAACTTGTAAGCATGCTCACAGACTTGTAAGCCTGTGTTCTACCACTAAGCTAAACCACCAGACCCTTGTGTTCTGGTGGGAGCTTCACCCCAGCCCCTGGCTGTGACCAGCCTGATCTGACAGGGTTCTTGCTAAGGGCAGGCCAGGGTCACCGACACCTCCTGGGGATGGTGGGTTTAATGAGATGTTATGTGTTTAGGTATCAGAGGCCAGCAGTTCAGGGTTTCTTGTTAAAGGCAGGAGTGTAGAGACAGCTGTAGTATAGAGTAAGAGCCCTGCTTAAGAAGGCAAGCCAGAGGAGTCAGAGTTAGGACGAGTGGCCCACAGCCTCTCACTTCAATTCCATCCAGTCTAGGGCAGCTCCTGCAAACTTGTGTAGTCCCCCTAAGCTTTTGAGCTCAAGTTCTAGGCTCATCTTAGGGTCCTGATAAGTGCTCATTGCTGTGGGTACTGTGTCCCTTTCAGTGAATGGAACAAATATATGTGGGTCTTCCTAGGACATGTATATAAAACACATGGGTATCTACTTCTGTATTTCTCTGTAGTAAAATGGTATGTTCACACCAACATTTCCATTTCCATTTCCCCAGCACTAAAGAGTTCCTTGAGCCCACCTCTGTTCTCTGTCACTGGGAAGCCCGGCTCTCAGTATCTCTTGCCATACTGGAACCTCCCTGCTCTAAAATAACAAAAACAAACAAAAAAGCCTCCAGCATATTCAGCCTTCACCTACATTAGCACAAAGATAGATGCTTGAGTCTGCCAGTCCCTTGGTTGCTCCAGGGAGCTCTCTGTAGATGCTCCTGCAGGGCCTGTCAGTCAGGCATGCTTTGTGACCAAGAGTTTATGGAAGTGACCATCCTGTTCTTGGAAGAGTTAAGAGTGATTGCAGAGCTGAACTGTGGCTTGACAGAGTCATTCAACTGGCTTAGGATGCCTGTCACTACTGTTTTGCAACTGAACATCCCTCTGTCCCTAGACTAGTAGGAAAGGACATAATGTGTGTAAGTACGCATGCATGGGTTCAGATAGGAGAGAGGTCTCTTGGTCACTCTGATCGCCCATATCCTGATTCCCCAGCGTGACGTGATAAAAGGCAGATGCCTCGGGAAAGGTGCTACAAGGTTATGAGACTGGAGTGTGTGTAGGTACTGAACCCTGGCCCAGTCTCCTCACTGAGGGAGAGACTGCGTGAGACTCAGTGATGTGTCACTGAGTGCCATCAGAGGCACACGTGCTGTGCTCTGGGACTGTGGGCAGGTTTGCTTTGGGAGATTCCACAGTTCTGGAACATGGGCATGGAGACACTAAATCTCTGGGTTGTTACAGTGATCCTGGCTTCCCAGATGTATTAGTTGGCCATTCTCTTTTGATTTGCCTAGGAAGCTACCTCAGGGGGAAAACTGTCTCCCAGCAGACTGGCACCTTTGTTGTGTATCCCTTTTCCTCCAGGTGTGTGCATGGGAGGTGTTCTCTGAGAGCTGTCTGGAGCAGTACAGGACCAGCCATTGAGTCTGGGACACAGTCACTTCTAACTTCTAGACTGCCCTGGTTTTGATGTAGAACTGTGGACATACTGTTGGATTCTAGATTTGGTACCCTGGAAGATACGCCTCAGTGGCATTCACAGCAGAGTTCCTCTCCTCTCAGCATGGCCAGAGAAGGAAGGAGGTTATCAATGTAAGGGAGGTCAATGACTCCTTAGTTTAGCTATTGTTTGAATGCAAATTGTTTAAAACACTTTTCTAAGAGGCTGGGTGTGGTGGTGAAAACCCTTAATCCCAGTATTCCGAGGCAAAGTCAAGCAGATCTCTGAATTCTAAGCCAGTCTGGTCTACATGAATTCCAGACAGCCAGGCTATGTAGAGAGACCCTGTCTCTAGCTACATGGTGCACATAAACTTATACAGGCACACATACATACACTAAAACAATTAAATTAACCTTTGAAAAACACTTTTATATCTTAAGCATCTCAGACCTTTAGAGACTTATACCTCCAGTTTACTGATGTTTGAAGATCGTCATTTCCCAGGCTCTCTGTGGGGCTTCTTGTTCCCTAGGCAAGACCCAGGAGGAAGGCGGGATGGGTGATGAGTACTCACAGCTAGCTATGCATAGAGAAGGGGAGAGAGGGTGGTGGCAGGGCTTCTAGTGAGGGGTAGGACCTGTGGTGGGAGGGAGTGGCTGCAGGCGAAGGGAGACAAGGTGGTTGGCTTGAGGACACGGAAATGATCTTGGTGGTAGGGAAGTGTGATGGAGGTGGCTTGGCTAGAGACAACCTTACGAAGGGAGTCACATGACCACATTCGCATTTTAGAAGCCTGGAGAACGGCTTGCAACAAGCCGGATCTGGACTCTGGCAGCCACGTGGAGATGGAAGTCTGAGGGAGCTGGGCTGGGCTGGCTCAGAGTGGAAGGGCAGGGAGAAGCCAAACTGAAGAGAAGTCAGGATTTGGAGGAGAGCCAGTCTTTAATCACCGCAAAGGCCATTGGGAGATGCTCTGCAACAAATTGTAGGTGTGTGGGTCTCTGTCCACAGTGGGGTCTTGGGTGAGGTGGAGCACCCAGATTTAGCAGACTTAACAGGGTTTTAAAGATTTTAACTCAAAGTCCAGGCATGGTGTGTGGGGCATGGCTTTAATCCCTGCAGTTGGGAGCCAGAGGCAGCCTGGTCTACAGAGTGAATTCTAGGATAGCCAGGGCTACAAAGTGAGACCCTGCCTCCAAAAAAAGAAAAGCGAGGAAAAAAGTATTTAACTTAGTTTTCTCCATGCACTCTAAGGAGTGTACTGTGCCAGTACCATCAGTCACGCCTGATGGTGGAGTTTGGGGCCATGGTTCTTGTTTTGCCCCACCCCCCACCCGCCCCCACAGGCCTTCTGTTGACCAGCTGCTGACTCAGTCCTCTCTTCCTGATCCTGATGAAGTCCTTAACATGGTTGGTACTCCCCACCATGGCTCCCTGTTATGTAGTGTAAGCAGCTCTCCCTGCGTGCCTGCTGTGCCCTGATGAGGACCAAGTGATTCCAGCCAGGCTCCTCTGCTCAGTGTCTGAGAAGGATGTGAGCCGCGTCTGCAGCCTGAGACGGTCTGTTTCTCATGTCGCGCTGTGTCCTCTTTCCCTCTCCCTCCAGACCATCTCCTAGCACAGTGTCTTCTGTCTTCCTTTTGGTTCCCTCCAGTCTCTTGGCATTACATGGTGCATTTTTGTGTAAGTTCACCAGGCCTGCTGTGCCAAATTACCACAAACTGGGTATACTAATGTGTAAGGACCTGTATTTAACCCCTACCACCCCCTAGAAATGGGTTTTCTCATGGCTCTGGAAATTCATGATCAAGGTGTAGACAGGGCTACACTCACTCTGAGGGCTCTAGGGGGTCTGTCCTTGCCTCTGCCAGCTTCTGGTGACCCTGCTTAAGCTTCCTGGGCTTAAGGGTGCATTCCTGCAGAGTGTGCCTCCATCTTCCCATGGTGAGCCTCTGTGTGTGTCTCAGAGCTTCCCCTCTCTTGCACAATCAGTTTTGCTCCATCTCAAGTCCAGAGGCATTTCATCTCAAGACCCTTAGTGTCATTCCATCTGTAAGACCCTATTTCTAAATCTGGTCCTTGTTCAGGTGCTGGGCTAGAGTGGGGCATGTCTTGTGGAGGACTCAGCTCATCTGTCTCCATGCGTACCCACTGTGCCCTGATGAGGACCAAGTGATTCCAGCCAGGCTCCTCTGCTCAGTGTCCGAGAAGGTATCTGAGACGCGTCTGCATCCTGAGACGTCCTGCCTTGTTTCGCTCCCACGCCATGGAGCTGTTCTTAGCTGTTTGCTCATCTCGGGACCTGCGGCTCTGTTCCAGCTGCTCAGGTGGGAAGCTTGGACCCATCCCTGCTCCCTTAGTCCACCTGCAGGTCCCTGGCTCACTTGACTCTTGTGCCCATAGCTCCCCACCTTGGCTCCTGTGCCCCTGGGCCATGCAGTCTGGTCTGTGTGTGTGGTCAGAGCATGAGTTCCCCACTGCTCCTACCTGCTGTGGGTTTCTCTACACTGACTTGTTGTCCTCACTGTGGCCACAAACTCAACTGATCAGACGCATCCCTACCATCCCTACCATCTTCTCCACTCTGTTCAGCCATCTTGTCTGTTGGCTTCCTTCTGTACAAGGGTGGCAGGTGGCCTAGTACTACCTCACTGGTCAGACCTCTCCTCGAAGGTGCTTTACTTACCCCTAGTCATCTTCTATCCCAACCATATACCTTATCACTCCTGACATTGACTTGCCAGTGTTTGTCAGTAGTTTGAGTCTATACCCCATTTGTCCCCATAGCATCTAGTGAACATTCATATTAGCTCCTTCTCCATGTGCTAGCTCCTGGGCCTGTGGAAAGCTCTGGTACCTGACATAGCCTCAGAATGATGATGCTGAGGTGAGTCTAGCTCACCTTTTGGTCAGCTCTGTGGCCTTGGTCCCGTTATTCTGACTTTTAAGATATAAAGTGGGCATCGTCTGAGAATCCCCAGGGACTATCATGTGATCAGACGGTGGCCCATTTATTGCTGCCACTACACTGTTGGTGTGGGATAGGCACCCTTTTGAGCTTTGTCAGGACATGCTGCTCATTCCTGCCTTTGGCTTGCCTGCTCCAGCTGTGTGTGCTTCTGTTTTGTACAGTCTAGAGTGTAATTGTACTTCCCTTGGTGGCCAGCCCTTAGTTGGTTCCGCTAGTGCAGAACAAGTGATGTACCTGCCCTTGCTCTTGGAGTGACTATCTAGGCAAGCTCCTGCATGCCGGTCTGGGCCAGCTGGGGCTGATCATGCTGCTGCAACATCCCCCTCCATTCCCCATGCTTATCGATTCCTGCTCATCATTCCAGCTCAGCAACATTATTTTGAGGGTTTCTGTGAACGACCATTGCTTACTTATTTGTGCTGCACACACATACGTCAGAGTGCCATCTGCACATTATTTTCCTTTTGCACTGGCTGTTTCTTTCTTTTCTCCCCAGTCTCCAGGTTATTGAACCTTTCTCAGATGACCCTTTCCTGGGGAGGTCTGTCTGCCCACGCATCCTGGGGACCACCCCCACACCCCCTTTTCTCCTCATGCTCCTATCCTGTTGTATCCTTGGCGTCTCTCCTGCTAGTCTCCTACTCTGCCCACCACTGTCATGTAGTCAAGGAAGGCCGGGCCTCTCTAGGCTAACACGTGTGCTCCGGGTGTCCCACGCACTACCCGTGTCCTGTATGTGGCAGTACGTACTGGCTCCTTGTTAGGAGATAGAATGAGGTTGACTGACTGTGTAGCAGGTTGGGGCCCAGCACGGTAAGCTGAGTGACTGCTGAGTGAGTGTGGTGCTGCCAAAGGGGATTTGGCTTCGAGTCCCTCTCTGTATAAAAATATGCAGCTTTTAGAAATTACATGATGCTGTGGGATCAAAGACAAGAAATGCCAAGGAAGTGTTAACCGGCGTTCTTCTGCTTTTATTTTCCTAGACACCATCCGATTCTGACTCAAGATGATCTGATATCTGAAGTGAACTGTCATCAACCATGATGGCTACACAGACGTTAAGTATAGACAGCTATCAAGATGGACAGCAAGTAAGGGCTTTGACTTTGGTTCTGCATCCTGATCACTGCCAAGCGACCCAACTCTAAATGGGGACGGCGCTCTCTGTGACTGTTCAGTTTCCATGAGCCCACACACACGTCCTCCTTTAAATGTATTAGGCATACATCACATATCAGAGATCAGAGCTATTAATGGCTCATGCTAGCACCTAAGTGACACCTCCTCCTGCCCAGCCACCAAACCAGTTTTAGAGTATTGTATTGTGCACGGATGCATGGGTACTGAGGCAGAGGCAGGGGAAATCTCAGGGTTCGGGACCAGTCTGCTCTGCAGAGTTCCAGGACAGCCAAGGCTACACAGAGAAACAAAAAACCAAAACTGGATACTTGCCTAGCGTTTGTGAAGCATTTGGGTTAATCTCTAGCACAGGGAAGAAAAAGGGGAAAGAAAAGTTGGATGTGTGTTTGTCTGCTACACCACTGGTGGTTGAGCTCAGGGGTCACGCTTGACAAGCACCTCACTGTTGCTCCCCTTAAGCTGGGTGTTCTAGAGGTTTTGAGGCAGAGTCTTTGTTCATAATCTAGACTGGCCTTGAACTCACAATCCAACTGCCTTGGTGTCCTAAGTGCTGGGACACAAGTGTACATCATTGCCTCGCTCTGATTTTTTGTTTTTTAATGTTTGTTTGCTGTTGTATACAGATGACGACAGGGTCTTATGCTATAAGCCAGTCTATCCTTGAACTTGTGACAGAGCTGCCTCAGCCTCCTGAGTATGAGATTACCAGTAGGGAATCCTGGGTCTGGAGAGAGGGCACAGCATTAAGATGGAATGAATACTTCACTGGGCAGTGGTGGCGCACGCCTTTAATCCCAGCACTCGGGAGGCAGAGGCAGGCGGGTCTCTGTGAGTTCGAGGCCGGGCTGGACGGACAGCCTCCAAAACAATACAGAGAAGCCCTGTCTCGTAAAAACCGAAAAAAAAAAAAAAAAAAAAAAAAGGATTGTATACTTCACTTACAGAGCATCTGAGTTCAGTTTCCAGAACCCCTGGCAGCTTACAACTGCCTGTAACTCTAGTTCCAGCGTCTCCAGTGTTCTCTTTTGGACCTCAAGGGCACCTGTACTCATGCATGTATATACCTTCCCACCAGCACATATACATGTAATTTTAAAAATATAAGTAAACCAAAATAAAATGATGGGAGTCCTGCAGTTTTATCTCTCCGGTGGTGAGCATTGGGTGGCACTGTCCCAGTAATGCCCTTAGTTGAGTTTCACTCTAGACTGGTCTACCTTGTGTGCTTGGGCGGTTGTGTTATGGTGAGGGTACTTCTGATTGTTCTCTCACAGAGACTGTCTGTCTAGTGTCCTTACAGGTGTGACAAGTGCACCCACAGCAGCTGAAGAGAAGCTCAGCTGAGGCGCTGGCCCCCCTAAACCTGGGGTCCCTGCTGAGTGCTCCCCGGGTGCTCTTAGCTCTTCCTGTGAACCACCTGCCTCTTTCCCCTAGCCTGGGGAGGTGGGGGTGGGAGAGTCAAGGTGGCTGGGAGCTAAAGCGAGCTCTGTCTCCTTTCCTTGATGACCAGTTTTGTCTGGTTGCAGCCATTTGTTTTGGCTGTTTTGAATCTGCCTTAGGCTTTTTTCTTTTTTCTTTTTTCATCCCTTCTGCTCCCCCTTCCCCTGCCCCGCCCCTCTCTCCCTTTCTTCCTCCTCTTGCTCTTCCTTCCTCACTTCCTTTGTTTTGTCCTGAGACAGGGTCTCTTGTAGCATACCCAGGCTAGCCTCAGACCTTCCTTTAACTCCTGATCGTCCTGCCTCCCTCCTGAGGACTGAGATTATAGGGATGCCACCACAGCCAGCTCTGAGTGGTCCTTCTTTTTTTCTGAAAATGCAAATCTAATAATACAATCCCCCCGCCCTGACGTGGCTCCTGTAGGTGTCAGGCAAGGTCCAATCGGCCCTAGCTCTGTGCTGGCATGCCCCATGGACTCTCAGGCCACCTGGCGTCACATGACTCACTTGGGCTCTGCCTGTGTTGTCCCACTTGCTCATTCCTGCTTGTCCTGTGGTCTCTGTCACACTCGCCTTCTGCCTGCCTCCTGTGTGACCCCACTCCACAAGGAGCAGTGCCAGCCTCCTGTAGAAGGCCGGGCCTGATGCTCTTTCAGGGACATTCCGTGGCCCCTGTGTGGACAGTCACATCCTGAGGTAGAACACTTGGGTTCCTCCTCCAGAGTCATTTAAAAGAAGACTCAAATAGTCTTGTAATACCTTTTTATACATGCAATCAGATAACCTTTAAGAGGATTGTGTTTGGTTAGGCTTTCATTGCTTAGTTTAGTTAGTTAGTTTGTCTGAGACAGATTTAAATTATATATTCCTGGTTTGCCTGGAGCTCACTACGTAGACCAGGCCAGCCTTGAACTCACAGTGATTTACCTGCCTCTGTGGTGGGGGATGTTCTTCTGCATACATGTTTCTCTTATTGGTTGATAAATAAAACTGTTTGGTCAATAGAGGCAGGGAGATAGGTGGGACTAAGAGATGAGGAGAATTCTGGAAAAGGTGGGCAGAGACAGACTGTGAAGAGATGCCATGTAGCCATGAAAGGAGTAACAGGTCCGGGCATTTTCCAGTAAGCCAAGACCATGTGGAAACACATAGATTAATAGAAATATTAAGACAGAGCTAGCCAATAAGAAGCCCTAGCCATCAGCCAACATGTTTTATAATTAATATAGCATCTGTGTGTTCATTTGAGGCTGAAGGGCAGCAGGACCTGGTGGGACAAGAAACTCCAGCTACTCCTCTGTCCCCTAAGTGCTGGTATTAAAGATGTGAGCCATCATGCCTGGCTAGTTGCTTTATTATTATTTTTTTTGAGGATAGAGATGAACTAATTTTATTACTGTGTATTAATTTTACAAAACAATGTGTTTTGCTATGACACTGTCATATGAATACCCTGACCATACTTACCATCCATTGTGCCCCAGCCTGTTGGCCAACAGACTGCTTAAAACTTCCATGTCTATTGTTTAAAGTCTATTCCACTTGCTTCTTCCTTTGAAATATGTTCTTCCCTTCTCATGGTTCCCTTCCCGGTGTCATTATTCCACACACACATGTATGTGTGTAAGTTTTATCTAGGTTTCCTGTGTGAGAGAAAATTAGAGTTATTTGTCTAAGTCTCATTTATTTGACTCCGCATAGTGATTTCAGGTTACATCCATTTTCTTGTAAATGTCATAACTTCATTTATCTTTAGGAGTGAGTAAAAATCTACTGAGTATGTATAGCACCTTTTCTTTTATTGTAGTTTAAAATTTAATATGTGTCTACTGTATTTATGCTTTACTATTTTTTAAAGAAAAATTTTTATAATGCCGAACGGTGGTGCACACCTTTAATCTTAGCACTCAGGAGTCAGAGGCAGCAGATCTCTGTGGGGGTAGGGGTCGGGCCATACTTGGCTGGTGCTCCCACAGGATGAGCTGAGGCAGGGTGGCTCAGTTTGAAGCTACAACAGTAAGTTTCAAGGGAGGCGTAATCAGCATTTTATTAAGTACCCAAACAGATTTTACCTGAGTGACAGATACAGAACTGGTTTAATACAGTGGAAATATTACAACCCTAGTAAACACTCTTGCTCTTTACTTTCTAAATAAAGTGACCTTTGTGAAAAACCATGTGGGGGTCAGAGAGATGGCTCACCAGTTAGGAACTCATGCTGTTCTTGCAGAGGGCTGGAGTTTGTTCCCACAACCTACATTATATGGTTTATAACCACCTATAACTCCAACTCCAGGGGATCTGATGCCCTCTTTTGGCCTCCATGGGCATATGCACACACACACACACACACACACACACACACACACACACACACACACTATTAAAAAATCTTACAGAAACATTATATGCATGTGAGTGTGTGCTGAGGATCAAATCTAGGTAGGATGTTGCACAGGAGCTATACTCCCAACCATGTTCTTGCATAATGGTGTAAGGCAACTGAGGGAGAACTTGAGCCCTGCCACAAAGATGTAGTGTTGCACTCGAGTTGTTTGTGCAACACAGACTTTCTGTTCACTCTCCTACTGAGTTAACTGATCGGGAGCTGTGCAGTTTCTGTCAATGAGTCATAGTGATGGCTTAAAAACCCTCTCAATTCTTTTTGTTGTTGTTGTTTTGTTGTTGTATGTGTGGTTTTTTGAGGACAGGGTTTCTCTGTCTAATGCTCCTGGCTGTCCTGGCATGTGCTTTGTAGTCCAGATTCTCCTGCCCCTGCCTCCTGAGTGCTGGATTAAAGGCATTTCTCTGTGTAACCCTGGCTGTCCTGGAACTCTCTCTGTAGACCAGGCTGGCCTCAAACTCAGAGATCTGCCTGCCTCTCCTTCCTGAGTACTAGATTTAAAGGTGTGGCTGCCACCACCTGGCATCGTCTCACTTCTTAGTGAGTTAGAAATTTGGCCTCTATGTTGCCTGCTGGTGGAACTTGAGAGATTGAAAGGAGTTTTCCTGCTAGTGTTCTTTGTGTTGTTATTGGCAATTATATAATCTTCCAGCTGCAGTAGCACTTTACATTTTGTCTTTTGTAACAAATTTTCTCCTTTACAGATGCAGGTGGTAACAGAGTTAAAAACAGAGCAAGATCCCAACTGCTCTGACCCGGATGCAGAAGGAGTGAGTCCTCCTCCCATCGAGTCTCAGACCCCAATGGATGCTGACAAGCAGGCCATTTATAGGTAGTGCCCGGGTGTGGAGTTTGTGGTTTTCAGAGGACCGGGAGAATGCAAACGTGAAGTGCACCCTAGGACTGGGGTCTAGACTGAGCTGGGAGGAACCATCGGGATATTGCAGCTACTGGGGAAACCTTTTCAGATTGAGATGTTACCTCTAATAATAAAAGAAAAGGTTTATAACATGAATCTATGCTTTGGGTAACCTTTCGGGAAATTCTTCAGGCCAGGCATGGCGGTGCACACTTGGAATATCAGCACTGGAGACAGAGAATCCAAAGCCAGTTGCAGGCTAGTCTGGGTTACATAACAAGACTCTAAAAGGGAAAGGGGTCTTGAGATGGGCTGGGAAGGAAAACACTTGTCATGTAAAATAATGACCTGAGTTTGATTTCTGGAACCCACAGAAAGTGGAGAGAAGTCTACAAAATTGTCCTCTGACCTCCACATATGCAGCTCTAGAAATTGTCATTTTGCTCTGTAGACCTCAGCTACCCAGGTATCTCCTGAATGAGGTCATGTCCTGCTGTCTGGACCTCAGCTACCCTGGGCATCTAAGTGAGAACTCACTTCAGTTATGTAATAACTCCTTGAAATCTTTTCTTTCCTGGATTCTCTCACAAAATGTTTTAAGCCGTGAAACTGTAATATGGAATCTGCTGGGGCTTTGTTCCTTTTTTGAGACTGAAGAATATTTCACTGTGTATAATTATCTATTTGAGCTGCTTCATCCTTTTTTTTTTTTTTTTTTTTTTTCTTGAGATGGGGTCTCTCTTTATAGCCCTGTCCTGGAACTCACTTTGTAGATGGAGCTGGCCTTGAACTCACAGAGACCCGCCTGTCTGTGCCTGCCAGCTGCTAGGATTAAAGGTGCCTCCACCCGGCCATGCCTTCTCGGTTCAGCTGTCAGTGTGAAGGGGCGTGGAGATGCAGATCTAGCTGCTCACAGTATGTTAGAAGCCTTGCTCATGGTTGTCAGACTAGAAGCAGCAGCGTATGTGTTTCTCAGACAGGGGTGAGTCCGTGCAGTGTGTGACACTCTGCAATGAAAGGAAGGAATGTGGCTGCATGCGGTGTCTTGCGTGAATCCCAGCTGCCTTATGCTGATGGAGGAAGCCCTTCTCAGAAGGCCTGCGTTTTGTGTAATTGCCTATACATAACACCAAGAGAAAATTTGACAATGATGACCCCTGCTGGGTCTAGGGATTCCAGCATGCACCCAAGGGAGAAAAAGAGGGCTTGGGGTGATGCTGTGACTAAGACACACATAAAAGGATCTAAGCGCCAAGAATAGTCCATTTTATTGTTGGCTAGTTCACAGAAAGCAATTGAAATACAGTCCTGGTGGTACATGCTGTAATCCCGCACCTTGGAAAGCTGGGGCAAGAGGAGTGTGAATCAAGGCCAGCAAGGACTCTGCTGAGACCCTCTGTCATAAAATAAACAGCCAACCAATAACAAGAAGAAAATAGTGATCAGGAGTTCATTTAAGTTAAAATTAACCCGATCAAAAATATTTTGCTGGGTGGTGGTGGCACAGGCCTTTAGTTCCAGTAATCAGGAGGCAGAGACAGGCGGATCTCTGTGAGTCTGAGGTCAACCTGGTCTACAGAGGGAGTTCCAGGGCAGCCAGGACTATTATACAGAGAAACCTTGCCTTGAAAAACAAAAAACAAACAAAAGAACCAAAAAATAAAAAGTATTTTATGTGAAACACTTCCACTTAAAATAGTCATGTAGCCATGCCATATAAAGAAATGGGTTAAGAGATTGCTCAGGGGGAGAGAACATGGCTTCTCTTCCAGAGGACCCAGCTTTAGTTCCCAGGAGATCTGATGTCCTCTTCTAACCTCCGTAGTGCACATACATGGAGTAAAAATTAAAAAGAACTTACGAAAACAAGAATCTAGCTGTTTAAAAATCATTCATACAGGCCAGAAAAAATGCATACCTGTGACTTCAGTACTTGGAGGCTGAGGCAGGAGAGCCTAGAGTTAAAAGCCAGCCTGGCCTGTTTAATGGATCTCTATCTGAAAGAGGGTAGAGGGTCATTGGTGCACACATCCTGAGGCCTCCCTGGAGAGATGTGGCACACTTGCTGTCTTTCCCCACAGGCATCCACTATTTCCATTGCTTGCCTTGTTGTTTGAGAAATGTGAGCAGTCCACACAGGGCTCGGAAGGCACAACGTCCGCCAGCTTTGATGTGGACATTGAGAACTTTGTCAGGAAGCAGGAGAAGGATGGGAAGCCGTTCTTCTGTGAAGATCCGGAAACCGACAACCTAGTGAGTAAAGCCCATGCTTGCCCGCCTGCCCGCCCGCCCACCCGCCCGCCCGCCTGCCTGCCTGCCTGACTTTTTATGACCCTGCTCGTGCAGTTTACCTTCCTAGTCTTCTACATTCTAGCTAGTTTTCCCTTCAACAGTCTAACTGATCTGTTTCCTCTGAGGTGGGGGCTCAGTCCTCTCATGGGTGTCTATAAAGACTTCCTGGGGCAGGCTGCTCCTACAGGGTGTCTGTTCCCCTTGTGTTGTGGGTGCAGGTCTAATCTTAGAAACGGGCTCGAAAGAGTCGTCACCTGCAAATCAGCTCCCTCCTGGTGCTAACACCAGCTGCTGTACGTTTTTTCCTGTCCGACCCCATGACAGGGTCTCAGGGACACAGGCAGTGCAGCATCCTTGTCAGGGCACCCCCACTGTCTGCCCCTCCAGTCTGACCCTCTCCCAGATCCAGAGGAGCTCAGAGCACCACAGCAAGGTGTGTTCTCTGGGTTTTGGGAGTGCCTGGAGGCCCGGGCCTTCAGCAGGCTTCATCATCCTTGGGTAAATTGCACTGGCCTTAGCACTGCTGCTTTTGATCTCGTCATGTGTTCAGTCTTGACCACCTGAGAGGTCTCACAGGTGGGCTGTGTTTGACTGTGCCTCATGGGCTCTGAAGTGCCTGTCATTTGAGTAAGGAGCAGAAGTGCTTTGGGTCCTGGCCCATCCCTGGCCTAACTCAGTCGAGGGGACAGGTGTCCTCTACAGGCTGCCCCAGCCCCTCCTCATCTAAGCACAGGATCTAGCAGAGCTCATGTCTGTAGCTCTTGTACTGTCTGAGAACAGCATTAACAATGTAGGTGACTTCATATGCGAGCCTGTGGCTAAGGGACTGGGCCTTGTTCACAACAAGGGGTTCCAGTGACATGGCACTGTTGGCATTGGTGACCCATTGCTAGAGAGACCCATGCTCAACACTTGGTGACTTCATATTAAACAACAGAGGAAATAATAGGAGGAGAACTTAGGGGTCTAGAGCTAGGCAAAGAATTCTTACCCTTGACACCAACAATATGACCCAGAAAAGGCAGAGATGGTGGGTTGAACTTTGAGAACCACCCCTAGGGTAGGTGAATATTGAGATGGGGTAGAGCAAGGCTGTAACCCATCATCTGCAAGCCTTGAGCCACGTTCCCAGCACGGCCATGGTGAAGGAGGCACCTTGTTCCTGTGTCTGGCACAGGTGCAGCTGGGCTGGGGCAGAGGCACCAGAGTGCTGGGACACTTTGTATAATTGCTAACACTGCTCCACTTCTGTTACTGGCACTGATGTCCTTTCCAAATAGTAACTAAGAACAGTGTGTGTGACAATGGTGGCTTCTGATAATGGGCACATTATTTCTCACCTAACAGTCCTTATTTTCTCTACCTCTAGATGGTGAAAGCAATCCAGGTCCTGCGTATTCATCTTCTTGAATTGGAAAAGGTTAATGAACTCTGTAAAGATTTCTGTAGTCGGTACATTGCTTGTCTGAAGACAAAAATGAACAGCGAGACCCTCTTGAGTGGGGAGCCTGGGAGCCCTTACTCCCCCGTGCAGTCCCAGGTACTTGCTTTAGGGGCCCGCTGTGGTTCTTATCACTATAGTACTGATCATGCAGCATACACTCCTGAGACTACTGGTGCCTTCAGGATTGCTGGTTGCCTTGATGACAAAAAGTTCTTAGCCCAGTGCCTTAAGTGCATTGCCACTGCTGTGCCACCATCAACACCGCATCGCTGTTCACTGTCATCGTCCCAAAGGACGTCCTGTCCCACTGAAATCCTGACGCGTACTGCACTACCTGGCCCTAGCCCGGCCCCGTGTGTTGTTTTCAGTCTCTGTGAACTGACTACTCTAGGTTCCTCACAGAAGCGGAATCATACAGCATCTGGCTAATTTCAGAACATCCTTAACCCCAGGCAGGGATGGAGCATCATTGTATTTTAACCCCTCTGATGTCTGGTGGCATTTCATCAAGTACTTTATTTGTAGCTCCCTGACAGCAAATGGCACTTTTATGTGCTGATCTGTCATCTGTGCGCCATCTTTGCTAGAAAAGTCTGTCTTTTGTTTATTTTTCAACTTTTATTTCCTTAAGTTTCTGAGTTTTGAAATTCTGTTTGCAAATGTTCACCTGCTTCAGCACCTGTTAGCAGCTCTCCTCCTACTGAACTGCTTCTCCCCCTTTGTCAAAAGCTGTGCGGGTGAGCCTTGCTCGCTGTCTGGTGCTCTGTTCCGTTGATCTGTGTGCCTGAGTGTCCCAGGCCTTAGTCCCTCAGCCCCCGGCAGGTGTCCACACTGAAGAGCTGCTTTGCTCCATGTCTTCAGTTCTCAGAATGGCTTTAGCTCTCTTCTGGTGGCTTTGCCTTTCCATAGAAATTGTCACTGTGCTGTGTAGATCTAGAAAACAAACCTCACTGTGGGTATTGACAGCATTGCAGTTTAGGGGAACTGACATCTTTGCTATGTGACTCTTCAATTGAGAAACGTGCCACGTCTCTGCATTCATTTGCATCTCGGGGCTTTTCCATCAGTGTTTTGTAGTTTTCAGCATAGTGATCCATGCACTTTTAAAAGTACATACAAGTAACCAGGTGTGGTGGCACACGTCTTTAATCCCAGCACTTGGAGGCAGAGGCAGGCAGATCTCTGTGAGTTTAAGATCAGGTCAGACTAGTATACATAGAGAGTTCTAGGACAGCTAGGGCTACACAGTGAGACCCTATCTCAAACAAAGAAACAAAATTACACACGTGTATATCTTTGAATGACTGTAGTTGGACTGTGGTTTTAAAGATTCATTTGGTTTTAGATGTATGAGTGTTACCTTCATGAGTGTGTGTGTACCTTGTCAGGTGCCTGAGGTAGTCGGCAGAAGGTATCAACCTCCCTGGAACTGGAGTTTCCTACAGTTGTGAGCTGCCATGTAGTACCTGGGAACCAAGCCTGGTCCTCTGTGAGAGCCCCATGTGCTTTTAACTGCTGTACTTTTTGGGTTTTGTGTTCATTGCTAGTCTGCAGAAAAGCAGTTCATTTTTAATGTGCCGCAGAAACATTCTTAAAAAAAATCATGCAAAGTCAAGTGTTTCTGTGAGTAGATGTCAGCTGCAGAACGTAGTGGATGACATTTTGACACTCCATGTGTGTGTGGGGGGGGGGGCTTTGGTAGTGCTCACCCTCTGTTCCTCCCTCACCCTTTTCCCCGCCCCTCAGAGCCCCTCTACCAGTTGGTGTTTGTTCTCATAGCCTGTGACCTGATGAATTCATTTCTCTGTGGTGAGTTAGCTGTTTAGTTGGTCCATTCCCTGTACAAACAGGAACAACTCTATTTGCCCCCTTTCTGACCTCTCGGCATGTCTTCCCTTTTCTTGCCTGATTGCATTGGCTGACTAAGTGTGAGGACAGACTTCCTTCTCTTGTCCCTGGTCACTTCTGGTGCCTCCAAGCCTGAGGTGTCAGCCTTCGTGTGTTCATTCTGTCATGAAGTCTGGCTATGAAGAACCATTACCTGAGCCAAATGTAGGAGGAAGTTGGGATTGAAGTTGGGTCTTTCTGCTCACCTCCTGGCCTTGGACAGCAGGAGGACAGCCACACACTGCGCACACAGCCACCTGTGGGTCATCATAGCCACTGTGGCTGGTTTTGCATCTCTCTAGTTCTCATATAGGACACTTGCTTTCTGAAAACTTGTCAACTGAGTCTGCTCTGTGTCCCTGGCCTCCCTTGCCTTATTAATAGCAGCATCGTGATATCGCTTCCTTTGAAGTTTTGAACATGGTTTTTCTGTGTTCTAATAATTCCATGATGTGTGTGTTCTGACATTCAGCAGATTCAAAGCGCCATCACAGGCACGCTCAGCCCCCAGGGAATCGTGGTGCCAGCATCAGCCCTGCAACAGGGAAATGTAACCATGACAACAGTGGCAGGTAGGACCACCTAAAAATGGACACTTTTTCCATGAGCTTTTGCAGAAAACATCTAATACTTTATAATGAGCTCATACATAAATGCCTTTTAACATGTTTCCTTCTTCTTTTACTCAGTGCCAGTCACTGATATAATAGTGCTAGAGCCCAGAGCAGTTAAACACCTGCTTCTTACTGATTCCCATGACTATGTTGTGCAGGTTATATTTTCCTATCAAGCATTTGGGGAAAAGGTTTTATGTAGGAATTAACTCTGTATAGCAAGGGGCTAGAGAGGTGGCTGAGCCGTTAAGAGCACATACACACACACACACACTTAAAATAAAGTAAAAATAGAAAAGAGATGGGTAATGCTGGCACACGCCTTTAATACCAGCTTGGGGAGGCAGAGACGGGTGGATCTATGTGAACTTGAGGAGAGCCTGGTCTACAAAGTTAGTTCCCTGACAGCTAACTTTGTTACACAGAGAAGCTTTATGTTGAAAAACCAAAAAAAGAAAGAGAAGAAAGGAAAAGAAAAGACAGAGCAAAAATTAATTATGATTTCAAATAACATTCATGTGTGTGCATCACAGCATGGGTGTGGTCAGAAGACAGCTTGTAGGAGGCAGTTCTGCTCCCACCACGTGGGTTGGGAGGGATCAAACTCAGGTTATCCAGGCTTGGTAGCAGCAAGCACCTTTACCTGCTGAGCCATCCTACTAATTTCTAGTTTTTAGTTGTGCTATTCATAGGACCTGGAAACGACCTACTATTATAAATTGGTAGTGCCAATCAAGGAGAAATACTGCCTTATTCTTAATGTTATTTTTATAGCAAAACCATTATAGGAAGGGGTCAGGTAATGCCTTTTCTGCTCTGTAGAATATTGCAAATATAAGAATCAATAAATGGGACAGGTGTGTGGGGAGTAGTAGACATGTACTCTGCATTTCTCACAGAGCGGTGCAAGGGGACAAGAGAACTGTTGCTAAGAAACATAACAGTGTGGTGATGCACACGGAGGCAGAGGCAGGTGGAGCTCAGTGAGCTCAAGGGCAGCTAGGGCTACATGGAGAGACCCTGTACCCAAACAAACAAGCGAGAAAGAAAAACAGACAGGACACTAAAGTGAAGGTGCTGTTATCAAGTGTCTTTAGCTGTAGGAAAAGGAAAGCAGACACAAGCAAAAGGAAAGGGACCTGCCAAGTCCCCAGTGACAAGGGCAGGTGCCATGCAGGCCAGAATTGGTATGATAATTTGTTTGACCACGTAGTTTGCAAAGTATTGTTGACCATTTGAAATGGTTAAAAGGCTCACCCAACAGGCTTTTCATTTCTTCCATAAGCCTATCAGGAAGAACGTCTTTAAATCATTAAGACTTAAAAGTAGTTTAATATTTGAATTCTCTTTTCCTTTTTGAGGTGGCACAGTGTACCAGCCTGTCACCGTCGTCACTCCACAAGGTCAAGTGGTCACACAGGCATTGTCTCCAGGGACAATTAGGATCCAGAACTCCCAGGTGTGTGATGTCCTCTAGGACTTGTGATGAGTACTGCCTAGGTGGGGTACAGTGAAGCCCCTTCTTTGTGACCGCCATTGGTTGTCAAGTAGCCTTTAGCCGGTTTGTTTCTTTTCATGCTTCCTCTTCCTTATTGTGGAAATTGACAAAATTCAGAGCAGTCTGAGGCACCAGGGAAGCTTTTCACAACCCCAGAAGTAGCCATGGCCATGGCGTCCATCCGCCGTGTCTGCATATCAAGACTGTAGATACAGAACAAGCAGGCAGATTTCAGAACCACAAAGCCCAGACTGTACCCTTAGCCTGAAGCTGCACCCCAGGCTTTAGAATCACCCCCCTGCTTTGCGTCCCCAGCGAGACTGGGGTGCTTTGTTGAGGCCAGGCTCTGGGTGTGTGCAGTAGCAATTCTTGTCTCCCACCTTCAGGTGTTTGGCTCTTCAAACAAAAGGTAACCTGTGGCATATTGTGGCCAAGGTCATTCTGCAGTCCTGTTCCTTTGAAGTCAAACAGGAAGTTGGGTCTCCTGGGCTCGAAGACCCTCTGAGTTCTAGAAACATGAATTTTTTACTTTGAATAACTGAATGCAAGGTTTAAAGTATAGTTTTTCTTTGTGGATGTTGAATCACTTTGTGAGGTCTCTGTCCATGTCCTTATCAAGGACTCTCATGTCTAGCCTGGAGTGTGACTGTTGTCTTAAAGGAAGAGCTGCAGTGGTTCTCAGTGGCGTGGTAGTCTGGGGCTGCCATCTCTCTATGAAGGTTCAGGGACAACACTAGAGGAAAAGATGCAGGTGCCCCTGGCATAGGTGGGGCTTCAGAGACTTACCGAGTGCGTGACTGCTCAGGCTCAAGCCCACACAGGGGAGAGCTGGACCTCACTAATGCTGCCCTTGTCTCCCTCCCAGCTTTCTTCCCTTGTGGTTTCCATGTAAATATTTGTAACAAAAGAGCCATGTCCAATTACTGACTAGTTTTCTAGGACTGAGTTTTGCTTTTTTAGTTTTTGTTTATTTTTTGTTTTTTGTTTTTCAAGACACTTTCTTTGGGTAACAGATCTGGCTGTCCTGGATCTCATTCTGTAGACCAAACTGGCCTCAAACTCACAGAGATCCCTGGCTGACCTGAAACTCACCATGATCACCCTAAACTTTAGCCCCTTGGTGCACTGCAGTGGCTAAGATCTGTGATTCTGCCTTAGTCTAACTGTGAACAGTTCCTGCCTGGGGGCTGCAGTCAACAGTTGACACAGTTCAGTATGTGGAAGTCATCCCTTAACAGTCTGAAGAGCCTAAGGACTGTAGGGCTTACATGCAGGAAAGGTGGGAGTGAAGACCAAATATGTAGAGCGTGTTATGGTAGCCTCAGGTTAGTCTGTCCATGGTTTCCAAACTCTGTACGGTAAGTAAGCCTGAGAGCCTCGGTGCCTCCTCCGCCTCAAGTTGTAAGCTGCATAATATGTTGTCATTTCAAAGCCTTTCTGACATTGCGTCAACTGTGTGAAAGCTTCAGTTGCAGTTGAATCAAGATCTCAGCATCTTGCATCAAGAGGATGGCTCCTCCAAGAACAAGAGGGGCGTCCTGCCGAAGCATGCCACCAATGTCATGCGGTCCTGGCTCTTTCAGCACATAGGGGTAAGAATGCTGGGATATACCCTGAGTGACCCCAAGACCCTCTCCTGGCTTGTGTCCCCAAGGAAACTGACTTGACTTTGTTTGGCTCAGGTCTAAGTTTGTTATTATACTGTGTCCATAGTGGGGCTTGAGCACAGGTCCCTAATAATGACTTCAAGAAACTTAAAATGCAGCAGGGCTCCCCCGACTGGTGGAAAGGAAGTCAACTAAGCTACTGCCAATTGTGCTTCTTTAGAAACCCCTACTGTGTGATGGGACTGACTGAGAAGGGGGCAAAGGAAGGATGAAGTAGCACTGTTTGTGCGGTGGATCTCGGGGAGCTGCAGTGAATTAAAGGCACATGGGGAAGTTGGGCACAGTGAGGATAGTCAGCACATGACTTACTTAGTGGAAAATGAGAGAGCGAGGCACACAAGTGTGCAGGATGGTGAGGGTTGCCAGCACAGGCGGTGTCAGGTAAAGGACAGGAAGTGACGACCCCTGCAATGGCTGTGATGCAGTGGTCACAGTCCCCACGGAAGTGCTGTGTTGGGTGTGTCTCTTTGTTTTTCGGGTGTCAGTGTGTTATCACACTTCCCTTTAATGAGTTAGTATTTCCCAAACATAAATCCTGCTTATAAGGACCAGTGAGGGCACGGTGCCTTGTTTTCCTGTTCCTTCTTGCCCTCATTTCTTTGCAACACCTAGTTTTTCAAGCAGTGGGGCAGCAGTGACTGCTGTCTGATGTTCTGACTCTGTGCTTTTGTTTCTGACCTCACTTTCTGTGTATTGTTTAGTCGCTGACCACATTCTCGCCACACACTGACAGCTGCTATATACTGTTGGGCATTCTTGATCAGAGAAACATTCTTGCCTGTTTGGTTTTTTAATGATTTATTTATTCTTATTTTCTGTGCATAGATGTTTTGCTTGCATGTATGTCTGTGTGAGGGTGTCAGATCCCTTGGAACTGGAGTTACAGATAGTTGTGAACTGCCAAGTGGATGCTGGGAATTGAGCCCAGGTCCTCTGGAAGAGCAGTCAGTGCTCTTAACCACTGAGCCATCTCTCCAGCCCATTCATTCATTATTTTTTTTTTTAAGACAGGTTTTCTCTAACCAACAAAGTGAGTTCCTGGCTGTCCTAGAACTCACTTTGTTGGCCAGGCTGATCTCAAACTCACAGAGATCCACTTGAGTGCTGGGATTAAAGACCTATGCCACCCCCACCCCTGGCCAGTCCCCTTCATTCTTATCTGAACATGTCTAAAACAATGATATACGAAACAAAAGTCTAGTTGTGCTGAAAACTCTACTGTTATTAGCTTTTCCTCTTGCTTATTTGTATGTATGCATCTTATTTGCCTTTTAAAATTCAAATCCCATTGTGACAGTAACCCTCTTTATTTTTAGCATCCCTACCCAACAGAGGATGAGAAAAAGCAGATTGCTGCTCAGACAAATTTGACACTGCTTCAAGTCAACAACTGGTAAGATGACCTAGTGCTGACACCAAACCTGTTACTATGGCAGAGCCTGGCCTCCCGATGTGCTCTATGCTGCCATCAGAGCGCTGCAGCCAGAGACAGCATGTGCAGGGTATATTGCGTGTTTCCACCTGCAGGGCATGCTACGCTGGTGGGCTCTCTTCTCTCCTTCAGAAATACGCCATGGCCAGGTGTGGTGACGCATGCCTTTAACTCAGCACTCAGAAGGCAGAGGCAGGCGGATCTCTGTGGTTTGAGAGCAGTAGTTCCAGGACAGCCAGGGTTGTTGAGAGATCCCCATCTCAAAACTACGAAACCTAACCCATGCCATCACTTTAGGCCTGCAGCTTGGGGACACAGTCTTGCATGTGTCCCTGCAGTCAGTCATTCTGCAGGCTCATTCTGGAGCCGTTCTTCAGAAAGTCCTGCCCAGAGAGACCACCATGTTTACAAGTGAAACACCCTCTGCTAAGCTTGGGCCACACTGTGGGAGATAGTTGAGCCCTGGGCGTATGTTCCTGTTGTGAGAACCACCGGCACCCATCAGAGTGGTGTACATGTAGGGTGCTATCGTATGCCGGTGGTCAGTCACTTGTCTCCATTTCACTGGGTTCAGATGGAAAACAGTCTTAGCTTCATAGAATTAGCATGTAAAAGGAAGCACACGCTTCCACCCAGAAGCACTACTGGCTTCACATTGCTGCTGTGCTGTCGCTATCATGCATGCCTGTGGCAGTTCCAGAGTAAGCCATGTAGCTGGCCTGCTTATGCTACCAGAGATGCAGGACATGGTATCCTTCACAGTTGCATTAAACATGCCTACTTTCTTGCATTTGGGCCAATATTTATTAAGTAGAAATAGTAGGCCATACTGCTTGAGTTGTTTCCTGTTAAATCCTTTAAATATAGTGCTGGCAAAAACCATACAGGGTTCAAGCATGCTATGAAAACAGTGGCCATTCTTGGGTAGCTGGCTCGTGCTTTTGCTCGTGCTCACTCTCTCTCTCTCTCTGTGTATGTCTGTCTGTCTGTCTGTGGGTTGTAGCTCTTCATCTCACAGAGCAGCAACATCTGTTGGAGATTTCATCATTGCTTGTTTGCTGGTCTTGTGCCGCTGGGTATGTGAAACAGGCAGAGATCCTCATTTGAAATCGTCTTCTGAAAAGACACATCCCTCTTTTTTGCAGGGGAGAGGTTTCGAGACAGGGTTTCCCTGTGGCTTTGGAGGCTATCCTGGAACTAGCTCTTGTAGACCAGGCTGGTCTCAAACTCACAGAGATCCGCCTGCCTCTGCCTCCCGGGTGCTAGGATTAAAGGTGTGCACCACTACCTGACCCTAAACTAATTTTTTAAATGAGCTGGGCTTGTTCCTCTGGAAATCTAGATAGTTCAGGAGCTTGTCACTCATGTTCCTCTTGTCAGCATGCTTCCTAAAGGGTGGTACCCCAGCCAAATCTTTATAAGTTCTTTGGCCTCAGTATCCCTTTGTCTACACAGGTTCATCAATGCCCGAAGACGAATTCTCCAGCCAATGTTGGATTCCAGCTGTTCAGAGACTCCGAAAACAAAGAAAAAGCCTGCTCAGAACAGGCCAGTTCAGAGGTTTTGGCCGGATTCTCTTGCATCAGGAGTGGCACAAGCAACATCCAGTGAACTCGCCATGTCAGAAGGTGTGTCACTTCAGATGGGCAAAGGCGGGAACAGTGGGACAGGTCAGCTGCTGTAGCTGCGAGCCCATGCAGAGCTGTGTGTCTGAGATGCTTTCTTTGCATCTGTGACTCGAGGCTGGCAAGATGGCTCATTGGGTAAAGGCCTAATAACCTAAGAACCAGTCCCTGCAGGTTGTCCTCTAACCTTCAGCCATGCCCACATTACATTACACTCCTGCACATAAACAAATGAACAAGTGTTGCCAAATAAATCAGACAGGAGTAGGCGCCCGTGGATAGCTGTTAAGGCTCACAGTGATGGCAGTTTGTTTCCAGCTGTGTTTCAGCAGATAGATAGCGGAGTCCATTCTGCTCCCACCACGTGACCTCTTTCTTTGGCACATGTGCCTGCCACCAGCCACCATTCTTACCTGGGTCATCAGCAACTCTGTGTGCATGACTCTTCAAAGTCTGGGTTGTTTTGTATGTAATTAATTTTGTTTTGAGCAAGGCCTCACTGTGATGCTCAGGATGGCCTTGAACTCCTGAACTTAAGCTCTTGCCCCTCAGCAGTTCCAGCTGAGGTGTATGCCACTGCCTCCAGCTGGGTGTATGTGTGTGAGTTTGAATGTATAGGCAGGTCGGGCGTTGGTGGCGCACGCCTTTAATCCCGGCACTCGGGAGACAGAGGCAGGCGGATCTCTGTGAGTTCGATACCAGCCTGGTCTACAAGAGCTAATTCCAGGCCAGCCTCCAAAGCCACAGAGAAACCCTGTCTCAAAAAAACAAAAAAACAAAAACAAAAACAAAAAAATTATAGGCATAGCTGTGTCGTCGTCCTCTTCTTCTTCCTCCTCCTCCTCCTTCTTTTTTTTAAAGGTTTGTTCATTTATTATGTGCAGTGTTCTCCCTGCATATGTGCCTGCAAGTCAGAAGAAGGCCCCAAATCTCATTATGGATGGTTGTGAGCCACCATGTGCTTTCTGGGAATTGAACTCAGGACCTCTGGAAGAGCAGCCAGTGCTCTTAACCTCTGAGCCACCTTTCCAGCCCCTATAGCTGTGTCTTCTTATTCTTTCTTTTTTGCCTTGGCAATATTCTGCTATGTGCTTAGGAAGCTCTGAGGGGATAATTTTTAATTCCTTTTTTTCTCATAATATTTTTATTGATTATTTAGGAATTTCACATCATGAATCCCAATCACACTCACTTCCTAATCCTCTCAGGTCTGCACCCCAACATTAGTAAACTCTGCCCCCGCCCCCAAAAGAAGAAAAAAGAAAAAGTCCAGTTTGTGTTGCCAATGTATTTACTAGAGTGTAGTTAAAGTCCTGGTGGCCAGCCACTTAAAGAAAACTGAGTCCTTCTTCACCCCACTCCTTCCAGAAGCCATCACTTGTAGAGAGCTACACTTCAGCATCTATCTCAGTTTTTAAAAGTTCTCTTCAATGGCACCAGTGGTGGCGCACGCCTTTAATCCCAGCTCTTGGGAGGCAGAGGCAGACGGATCTCTGTGAGTTCCATGCCAGCTTGGTCTACAGAGTTCCAGGACAGGCTGCAAAGCTATACAGAGAAACTCTGTCTCCAAAAACCAAGGCTTCTGTATAGGCTGTTACTGTTGTTTTTGAGGGGAGGGTCTCGTGGGAAGGGTAAACGTTCTGTGTCCCTCTTTCTCAACTGTGGGTCTGCAGTCATTGATAACACTGCGGAGGTAGCTTCCTTGCCATTTGCAGCCAGCAGGAGCACAGACCCTGAGTTTTCCATTTGTTTTTGGAGTTTAATGTTGTTTCTGGAGTGCTGGGTGTGGAGCCTCTAGCCCCTCACAGGCTGCTGTGCCACTGAGCCACATTCCAGCCTAGCTCGCCTCTCTCCAGGCTGCGGCTGCCCTGTTAGAAGTCTGTAAGCGTCACTTGTCCTCTTCCCCTCCCGTTCCGCGCTGGATCACTTCTGTTCTTCTTTTCCACACCACTGCCCTTCCTTCGCACAGGGTTGGGTCTGTACAGTGTGAGTTTATCTCAGGTGCTATACTTCACCTTCCCAGAAGTAGCATGCGTGTTTGTGCCCGCCTTTGGTACAGTGACTGACACACACAGTGTCTCCAGTGTCGCGTGAACAAGCTGTCTGTGCATAACGTGCTTCTTTCTCTCTGAGTGCTAAAGCAGACAGTGACACTGCCGTGCTCTGCTTCAGGTGCCGTTGTGACCATCACCACACCTGTGAACATGAACGTGGACAGCCTTCAGTCCCTGTCCTCGGACGGGGCCACCTTGGCCGTACAGCAGGTCATGATGGCGGGGCAGAGTGAAGATGAGTCGGTTGACAGCACGGAGGATGATGGGGGCGCACTGGCGCCGACGCACATCAGCGGGCTGGTGCTGGAGAACAGCGACTCCCTGCAGTAGGACTGATGCCAGCAGGGCCAGCGTGGGGCCGGAGAACCTGACTCTTGTTTGCACAGCAAACATTTTACAGTTTTCTTTGTAATATGTTTTATATGTAGATAGAGAAGAGTGCACTTTTGTATTTCACAGCAAGCTTCAAGATGTCTTCGCTGGTGCAGCAACTTCCTTCAGATGTGCGTGTGTGGGTTTTTAATGCTAGAAACGTGATGAGTGGCCCCTGCCCCTTGGGTGAGTCCCTGACAAGATTAAGGAGCGGTGCTGCCATCGTCTAAACAATTATGCAGTTGCGCTCTGTGGGCGACAGCAAGTCTGGGGCTGCTGCTTGTGTCGCTCTCAGGTCTGAAAGATGATCTGCACTTGGGCTGCAGGGCGAGAGAACCCGGCCCTGGTGGGCGGTGAACGCCCACAGCACACTTCATTCTCTTTGGGCAGCATCGCCTGTTTCATTTGCTACATAGAAAAAGAAACTCCTATTTTTACCTTGCTGGGATTATTGGATAAAAAGCTATTTTTATAAATCAATTATTAATTGGATTATGACTATATTGAGGATAAATTTCTAGAGAAGGAACAGCACATGCTTGTCTCTCGATTTGGAATGTTCTGAAAGGCAGCCGCCCATGTGTGGTCTCCTGCTCCCCTGGGGAGGGGAGGTTCACCATAACCGCTAAAAGGAAACAACCGTCAAGTGAACTTTTGATATCTCCAGTTTTGTGTTCATATGTGATACTCAGATCACATTTTACACTTGATCTAGGCATCTTACAGCGTGCACTCAGTAGGATGTATGGGAAGTGAGGGCCGCCACCATGCAGTGCCCTTCGTGTGTCGTAGCTCTCTGCCATGCCTAGTCCAACCTGACTGCAGTTACATGGCTGCCTGGCCATGTCAACTGGGTGGTAATTTTAGATTTTTTTTTTAGTTAAAACATGTTATACATAGAATGTTTATTATAAACTAATATAAAATGTGCTCTACCCCACTGGCTCAGAGCTGGGGTAATCTCAAACACCCAAGCTGTCTTACAGAATGGGCAGGCATCTGGAGGTTAGAACCCTGGGGGTATGGTTGGCTCACAGGCGTGTGTGGCTCTCTTGCTGTCACACACTTTTGTTGCATGTTGCTGCCTCCATTTTTAGGGTCCCCCCCTTCCAGTTACCACTCATGAGTTAGGACAGTTTGGGGACTTCATTTCCTGGTGTCGAGACAGTGCAGACTGTAGACTGAGGTTTGAGGTTTGCTCTTGGATTACTTGGGAGGCTTTGTCTCTGAAAACAAGTTCCCTGCTTTGTTTGGAGCAGGTGTATTATCACAAATGGTACCCAGGCCAGGCCCACTGCAGATAAGGACAGCTGTGCGGTTGTCAAGGGTACCAAGCCTTGAACCAAGATTACTCTAGAGGGACACCTTTAGCTAATTCACGTGTTTTTGTTTTTGTTTTCCTGGAGTGGTTCACTGTCCCCCCCCCATGTCTTGATTCCGTTCAGCCGTGGAGCATACTTGGACAACCAAGTAATCAACAGGAAGAATGGGTCTCCTTTCAAACCATTTAAGGAGCCTGCACTACAAAAACCAAAACAACAAAATATTTTAAGCAGCCTTTCCATTACTTATTTATACGTTGAATATTTTAAGTCAGGTATATGAAAGAATGGCTGTATTGGGTTTCAAGCAGAAACACATCTCCCTGTGAGCTCCTGCCAAGGTCTGCCACTCTCCCCAAAAGAAGATAATTCCTGCTGTCCTGCTCATGTCAGGCTGCTCTAGCTGGGATTTGAACACCATGATGCAGCATGCCCTTCCCAGTGGAAATCAGCTTTCCTAACTGGGAACTCTCACCTGCTAAATTCAAAGGGATAGCATGAAGACCATAAGAGAACCTGGGCATAGTGGCACACTTCTGTAATCCCAGTACTCAGGAACTTGAGACAGGAGGCAAGCCTGGGCTGTATAACCTGACCCTGTCTGAAAAAAGATGGTAAGAGCTGGCTCAGAGTCATAGCCTGAGTTTCCATCTACCTCCCATGCATACTGAGATGCTTTTAAGTAGCTCCATGAGCAAGCCATTCTGGTTCATTGAATTACCGCCCAGCGTTTTGTTGTCTGTCAGTTGCACCTTCAAGACACCTGCTTCCTGGGCATTTTGACATGTGCCTGGAATACAAGCACTTAGGAGGCTGGAGCAGGAGGATTGCTGCAAGGTTGAGACCAGTCTCTGGTGCACAGTGAAACGCTGTCTCAAAAACCCAGGCAAAACTCCTGCTCTCCTTTCCTTGGCCTGTGGAGAAAATCTGGAAGTCCATCTCCTTTGAGCTTTGTTTAAATGGTCAGATTCCAGCTTTCGTTCCTGTTAAAGTCCTTCCTAACATTGGAGCCTTTTGAATGTGCCCTGAGACCTACAGTCAACCTGTGTCATTCCTGCTGTTTGGCTGCCTAGCAGAAATCTAGACTGGCTGACCACCCATCTGGTGGGCTCAGGTTTCTCCTTTTTGAGTCCAGATTGTCAAATACAAGTGTATATGCAATATGCACTGTGACCCTTCCGGCTAGGGCTGACGGGCCGCTGCGTAGCCTGCTGAGTGGCTGGTGCACCTGTGGGGGCTGTTGGAGACGTGCCCCTCTCTGCATAGCTCCCACACAGGCAGGGAATGCCCGTCCTGAAGGCTTCGCCCACAGGTGGCAACAGAACTCGGCAGGCTGCCTTTTTCAGTTAAGTTCGGTCTTTGAAACTGACAATCTTTAAAATGTGAATACTGTAACAATATGTTTTCTCGGATTGTTGTCTTTAAAAGGATTTTTGTGAAGCAATTGATTTATCAAAGAAAAAAATTAAAAACAAAACATGCCTTGTGGATGATTGAGTCTGTAAAGCTTGTAACCCAACCTGGTTTTTCACACTAAGTGAGATTTTCAGATTGCCACACATCTTGGAGTGACACCAGAGTTCCTAGGGACAAGTTGACATTTCACCAACTGTTTAGCTCCATTTCACACCTTCAAGGGTCTGGGCTTCAGTTAGTCATTTTTCAGGAAAAAAAATTGCAAAACATTTTTCATCATGATTTTTCATAAATCGAATACTTTGGCATAACAAGAATGATTCATGGGCACGGTGACCTTTGCTGGTCCACACTGTAAAACCCCCTGTGAGGTGGATCCTGGGCACATTCAGGGGGCCCAGGAAATTGTCTAGGTGTTGTAGGACACAGCTTGTGCTTGGAACAGTGGACCAGGGGTCTTTTTCTTTAGAAATGTGTCTAAGGGCTGGGGGTAGAGCACCTTCCTAGCATGAACAGAGCCCCGAGTCCAGTGCCCAGCACCCCACAAATGTGGCATGAAGGAACATCCTCGTAACCCTGGCAGCTAGGAGTAGAAGGTCAGAAAATCAGAAGTCCAAGCTCAGATTGAGGGACACCGTAAGTCTGAGATAGGAGAGACTTTGTCTAAAATGACAAAAATAGCATCAAAAATTGGGACTCTGAGTGGCCAAAATCTTGGAAAGCATTTGACTGACTTTCAGTGATGGGGTGTGTCATTGTTGAACTGTGCTGTCCAAGGTGGGCAGATGACCTTGGACCATCAGTGCCAGGCTCCCAAAGGGACTTCATTGGTGAGAAGGGAGAATTTGACTCATAGGTTTGGTTCATCTACAGTGATGTTTGTGGCTAACAAGAATCAGCATACCTATTTAGACAGACAAGCCTCACAAAATAGCTGCAGATAGGGACTGTATTTGGAGTAAACGCTTAGGGGTTTTGCGTTTTGTTGATTTGTACAATGTTTAGCCCGAGAGCCTTCCTATGGACTCAAAAGAGGAAGCCTTAGTGCAGAGTCTTTGTCCATGTCCGATTAGCTCTTTAACCTTCACTGGGTCCTAGGAGCCGCTTCTGTTTTTCAGACCTCAATGTTGCCAAGTTTGGTGGCTCGTGCTGATGATCCCAGTATTTAGGACGCCGAGGCAAGAGGATTGCAAGTCCAAAGACAGCCTGGGTGACGTAGCCTATCTCCAAAACAGACAAAGCTAAAGGCCTCCACAGCTGTGGCCTCTTGACTACGTCTGCCTGAGGAGACTTCCAGAGGCCACCGGTCTGCTCTCCTCTGCAGAAGACCCTCTCGTGGGCATCACCAGAGAGGACCGCTTGGAAAGTCTATTAGCTGGCCTGGCGGACTACACTGGATGCTTGGCATCCCATTGTAGCACTGAGCCTCTCTCAGGATGAGATTTCAAACACAAAAACCATGTTCTGGCTTGATATACTTTAGTTAACAAATACAGTTAGCCAGAAGCGGAACTACAGAAGCCAAGAAGCAAGATCAGTGCATTTGTAGACTTTCTCAGAGCTATGGGCTTTAATGGGTTAGGTCCCTGTTTTTGTTTTGGCAGGTGGTGCAGTTTTACAGCCTAAATGACACTTCCTCCATCATGGAGTCAGTTGTGCTAAGGGCCCTGTTGTACTTTTCCCTCCCAGTCTCTTCCTGCCAGGCCTTCTGTGTTCTGCAAGGCTAATGTGGCCTGGGCTCAAGGGATCATCTGGTGAGTACTTCATAGGCAAGCAGCATTAGTCATTACCTATGCCAGTGATGACATTCTGTGTCCCGTTGTTTGAACCCAAGACTTGGCCATGAAAAAACAGCAATGGTATTGTTACAGGTGTGAAATCCTTTCATCCCATCATCCTTGGACGGTTTAAATTATTTTATGTGTATGGATGTTTTGCCCTGCATGTATGGCCTGATGTTCATGGAGGCCAGAAGAGGGCCTCGAATCCCCTGGAACTGGTGTTAGAGATGGCTGTGTACCACCGTGTAGCTGCTGGCAGTGGCCCTGAAGAGCAGCCAGTGCTCTTAGCTACTGAGCTGTATCTGCAGTCCCTGTAAAGGGCAGCTTTCATGGCAGCGATGGCTTTTAGTTTCTTCCTTGTCTTTGGCAGAACCGGAATGGGGACACGGGAAATGGAGCTGGCCAGCGAGGTCCTGAGACCCAGGTCAACCCTTAAGCCATTAGACCCAGCCATACACATCCGGGACTTGTGTGAAGCCTGCATGTGCTCCTGTTCTGGCAGGGCTGGCTGTGTACAGTAGTTTCCATCCTTCTAATCTCCAGCTGGCGGCGTCGCTGTGGGCCTGGTACCTGTGCCTGCCCTCTTCTTCATAGTCATATACCTGTTTCCCCATTTGCCCTCCCACACCCCATCTGTCACATGCCGATGTGCTCACCCCCTGCCATCCCTCAGCCCCAGCACCGTTTACCTTCCTCCGATGGTGGGCTTTTGTCCCCCACCCCCTTTTGTGGCAGTCAGAGGAAAAGTCTTTGGGAGTCAGTTCTGCTGTTTGGCTTTCAGGAGTGGAACTCAGTTCATCAGGCTTGGAAGCAAGTGCCTCCCCTTGCTGAGCCATCCATCACCCGGCCAGGGTGCTTTTAAAAGTGTGTGTGTATGTATATATCTGAAACTGACACAGACCGTGGGAAGCCAGTTCCCAGATCTTCCCCAGGCTAATGAAAAGAGAGCCTCAGAGGAGTGGAAGTTTAGGGGGAAAATGCTTATTTACTTGTTTATTACATTCCAATCCCAGTTCCCCCTCCCTCCTCACCTTCTCCTCTACCCTCCTTTCCCCCACCCCACCTCCCATCCTCTCTTCAGAAGATAAGGCCTCCCCTAGGAAGTCAACTAAGTCTGTCCCATCATTGTACCTAAATCTGTACCTCATTGAGGCAGAACCAACCCCTAACCCCATACCGTGTCTAGGCTGAGCAAGGTATCTCTCTATAGAGAATGGGCTCCACAAAGTCAGTTTATGCGTTATAGTTAGATCTTGGTCCCACTGCCAGTGATCTCATATACTGTCCAAGTCACATCATTGTCAACCTATATTCAGAGGACCTAGTTCAGTCTGGTTCACCAGTTGTCAGTGTGGAATCTGTGATCTCTCACTAGCTTGGGTCAGCAGATCTGTGGGTTTCCCCATCATGGTCTTGACTCCTTTGTTCATATTATCCCGCCTCCCTTACTTCGATTGTACCCCAGGAGCTTGATCCAATGGTTAGTTGTAGACTGCTGCATCTGTTTCTGGAAGAGGGATTTGGCTTCTCTGGGGTTGTGGATTGTAGGCTGGTTATACTTTGCTTTATGTCTGGTATTCACTTATGAGTTAGTACATACTATAGTTGTCTTTCTGAATCTGGGTTACCTCACTCAGGATGTTTTTTTCTAGTCCTGTCCTTTGCTTGCAAATTTAAAGATTTGATTGTTTCTTACTGCTGAGTAGTACTCCATTGTGTAAATGTACCTCATTTTCTTTATCTATTCTTTGGTTGTGGTGCATCTAGATTGTTTCTAAGTTCTAGTTATTACGAATAACGTTACTATGAATATAGTTGAGCAAATGTCCTTGTGGTATGAGTGCGCCCCCTTTGGGTATATGCCCAACAGTGGTATTACATGGTCTTGAGATACATTGATTCCTAATTTTCTGAAAAATCTCCATACTGATTTCCATAGCAGCTGTACAAGTTTGTACTCCCACCAGCAGTGGAAGAGTGTTCTCCTTACTTCCCATCCTCTCCAGCATAAGCTGTCATTACTGTTTCTGATTGGTGTAAGATGGTATCTCAGACTTGTTTTCATTTGCATTTCCCTGATAACTAAGAAAGTTGAGCATTTCCTTGTGTCTTTTGACCATTTGAGCTTCCTTTGTTGATAGTTCTCTGTTTAGATCTGTACCCCATTTTTTAGATTATTTGGTAATTTGATGTCTAGTTTCTTGAGTTCTTTGTATATTTTGGAGATCAGCCCTCTGTTAGATGTGGGGTTGGTGAAGATCTTTTCCCATTCTGTAGGCAGCCATTTTTGTCTTGTTGACCGTGTTCTTTGCTTTACAGAAGCTTCTCAGTTTGAGGAGGTCCCATTTATTCATTGCTGCTCTCAGTGTCTGTGCCACTGGTGTCATATTTAGGAAGTGATCTCCTGTGCCTATGTGTTCAAGGGTACTTCCCACTTTCTCTTCTATGAGATTCAGTGTGGATGGATTTATGTTTAAGTCTTTGATCCATTTGGATTTGAGTTTTGTGCATGGTGAAAGATATGGATCTATTTGCATTCTTCTACATATCATTATCCAATTATACCAGTGCCATTTGTTGAAGATGCTTTATTTTTTTCATTTTGTATTTTTAGTTTTTTTGTCAAAAATTAGAAGTTCAAAGGTGTGTGGGTTAATATCAGCAGTCCACCTGTCTGTTTTTATGCCAATACCAAGCTGTTTTCATTACTATAGCTCTATAATAGAGCTTAAAGTCAGGGATGGCGATGCTTCCAGATGCCAGGAAAAAATTCTTATCTAAAAAGGCCTCTAGGAAAAAACAGGCTCACATGATCTGAAGGTAACTTTATTATTGCTTCTTAAATTTTTCTCCTGTACACAACTTCTTAATTAGCTCTACCCTTCTCTTTTGCTCTCTAGAACACTACTGCTGTCTGCTGCCTCTGCTCTTCCCTTCCAACCAAAACTACGCACAGTTAAAGGTTACATTTTCAGGGCCCGACCCATTCTCATAACACATGACAAGTCACGTAGTTTCTCTTAGGCTAGCGATGTTACATTGACCCAGATAGAAAATGACATTGGAATTCAAGACTTAATAATAACAATTAGCTGGACCTTGAGTGGTAGGGAGTAAATGCAGACTAAAGTTACTGCCTTGAATCAGTAAAATACAACCTGGGAAAATGACCTTGTGTATTGTCTCCCGTAGCAATCAGCCTGCTTTGAATCTGCTCTGAAGTCTTGTAGAATGTAGTCTTCCTTGCTGGTTGCAGTCCCCAAATAACACACAGGAGGCTATATTAATTAT